ACGCATTTAAACTTTGTTTATGTATTTAACAGCATAATTAATATATTATTGAATCTTTGTGCTAACCCTACAAATTTTGCAACATGTTTTACACACGCACTCAGAGAGAGGAGCAGAGATATTTTGTATTCAATATATATGTATTTATATAAGTGTATTGCACAGAGCGTGGAATAAATATTCTTCCTTGAATCAAAAAATTGTGTTTTTATTTAAATTATTGTGGGATGTATTCAAGCTGGAAAATACTCCCCAGTCCAGTTTGTTTGAAATTACTTGTTTTACTTGCAATTACTTGTAAACATGAAAAAAGATTACTTAATCAAGGAACTGATTGGATCCTCAACCATGGATATATCGTCGGTATGTAAAGAATCAAAGTTTGCGCCTTTAAACATTAATTTTTTAACAATAAAAATCATATTTCAGCTTAGCAGCGAATGGGATGTCGAAATCATAAATGAATCCAAAATCTAGAAGAACAAGTTTTTACCCTGGAGAAAAAAGATTAAGCACTATGAGGATTCATTAAAGGACAAGAACGATTTAATAAAGTTGTTGATGGAGAAAAACCTTGCCCTTGAAAATGATGCCGAGGGCAAGAAAGTTAACAAAAATGTAAACGAAAACCAGGTTGTAATGAGGTCCAACTTGATAGAAATTGAAGACTTCCAGATTTGAGGAATGTCAATTGAAAATGCTACGCTTTCAGAAAAAATATTTAAGTTTGAATTAGAGATCAAGGAAAAGGAAATTGAGCTGACCGAATATAGAGTAAAATCCAAGGCCTAAGAGCTGAAATCAATTGTCAAAGTAGACGCTGCTAGCTTAAAAGACTAATATGACACAGTAGCGAAAGTTTAATTTTTAACATCTTTTTTGTAAGGGATCAAATAAAAAAACAAAATAGAATTTTGAAAATAAAAACATTACTTTTATTTATGTACATGTATATCTAGTTATAAATTACATTAAGCAAAAATCAATAACAACAAAATCTTTAACGCAAATAAATGTTCCATTAGTTCAAAATCTAAAATGCCTCCAAATTAATTTTTTACACTTTAAAAATAAATTTTTTTTTTTTTAAAAAGGCGGTTGAAGAAATATATCGGCCATCCCCGCAATCCATTTATTTTGTTAATCTGTAAGTTTGTAAAATTTTTTATATTTTTTTATATTTTAAATATGTTTAAATAGTTTTTGTTTTTAACGTTTATTGGCGGCAGCCTTTTTCCGATGGTCAACTACACAACGCGCCAGCGTTGCCAGATGTGGTATTCAGAGCAGAGATTTTACTTTTTGGGGTAAGATTTGTGTGTTTTCTAAAACTTCTCTGTTGGTTTTCTGTATAAATTGGCCAAAGGTTTGAGATTTCCGTTCTGTATCATGTTTAAATTTAAACACAAGTTTGAACTTAGGCGGAAACGTGGATTTTTTAGTGTGATTTTATGGTCGGCCTAGGTCATTTTTGGGCGAAATCCCATTTACCCTCTGGTAACACTGCATCCAGCTGGAACAAAAATTTTAATCAGAATAGAATATCAGTATTATAACGCACAAAAATTCCCCAAGCGAGGGGAACGGAGTCAAAAGATATCCATATGCTGCTCAATTGAGTCTCATTGAGAAAGGAATCACAGAAGGGGACTTCCCCACCGTAGAAACCAACCAAATCGACTGCGGCACTTGGACAAGGAAAAAAGTTCAGCCTTTAAAAGCGGAAAGAAATGGTAAAAACAGCATAAATTAACCAAGCGTAACCATTAGGTATAATACAATATCGCAACTAAATAGGTGGTCAGTAGACTTGTTGCTTTTCCCAGTTTCCATATCGCTGCTGGCTTTTATTGATTTTGTTTTTGGGCCGTTATCAACAACCTGCCGCCCACTCCGCCCCCAAATGATTTATATTTACCAACCAAACAATTGGCTTTCAAATCGACGCTATCTTATCAGTCAGTCCTCCCGAATCTTGCTAATTTGTTTATACTTAGCTGATCAGTAGTCACATCTGTCAGCGTTAATCCGTAATTGGATGGGGGATATCTGGAGAACCAGATGCTAATTGAGTGATGACTTCGTTAATCAAGTTGTTACTCCACCTCAGCTTCCTAACAAAAACGAATCGAATCGAACGTGTTAAATGGTAATTTGAGCCTTGAATAATGTCGCACCCACTCGCCAAATCAAAATCAATAAATGCAGCTCCTTACCGCCCTTCAAGTCACCCACTTAACTATATTTTCCCCCAATTTCAGAAGGTTTATCTGCGTGGAAACCAGATTTAAATCGAGTGGCAACGAACCTTTTATCACTTCCGAAAGGCTGAACCAAAAAACGTCGCAAAAATGAAATTGAAACGCTGGCGGCACAAGCGTAAATAGTTATTTACCCAGAGATATCCGAAGGGAAAAGACATTCACCCAACAGCCGGATTCGTTTTGGAAAACCTTCGGAAAACAAGCGGAAAATCATGCTGGGTCGCACACAAAGACTCCTGTTGGGCATATCAATACTGATACTAGTCGATGTGGTCTGGGTCTCCTCCAGCGAGCTAACAAAGGTGAGGATCTTCTATACCCCTTATTCAAATATCTAATCCTACATTTTCTTTTCAGTTTCTGTACAATGAGGCCAAGTTCGACAAACCTTTCTTCTGCACATACTTCAAAACCTCCATGTTCAGCATTTACCTGCTAGTCATTGGCATCCTGGCTCCCTGGAAAGAGTCCTGCGAGCGTCAAAATGGAAACTATGCTGTAAGAAATTAGAAAGCAAAACTATATGACACAATAAATGATTGTATTTCCCACAGATGATGGAGCAGAATGCAGATGACGAGAATTATTACACCAATCAGGCTGTTTTGGTAAGCCAAACCTGCTTAAATGGGCCTCAAAAACTCGTTTAACCCTTAGGTATTTACTTTGCCAGGGAAATCCTACCTATGTGCCCATTAGATCGCCCCACTTGGGAGCCCCAGCCAATAATGCCACCACAAACTCCCTATCCGGCACCGAAAGCGATGACTCCAGTGTGAGGAGTGTGCGTTTTAGCAAGATGGCTGAGGTCAGAGAGATGTCCGCCCACGAAGCCACCGATGCTTTAATGGCCAGGCTCTCGTATGCCGCCAGCTTGAGAATCAGGCGGCAGAAGACCCACCACAAGACTGCCAAGACCGCCCTGCTCTTCTGCCTGCTCTGGTTCGTCGCCAATTACTTCTTTCAGTTGGCCCTGGAAATGGACGAGACCGCCATGATAACGCTGGTCAGCTCAACGTCGTCGTTCTTCGTTATCTGCCTGGCGGCTGTGTTTCCCTCGGCGACGGGTGACAAGATGACCATCACCAAGGTGATTGCGGTGGCCATGAACATTGGCGGCGTGGTTGCCATCACCATGAACGACCTGCACGACACGAAGATGACGCGAGGCGTCCTTTTGGCCCTGTTCAGTGCTTTCTTCTACGCCGCCTATCTGGTTTTCGTAAAGCGAAAAAGCGATACGGAGGAAAAGGTCGATATACCTTTGTTTTTCGGTAAGCCAAATCATTAAATTTTGAGTTTGTTATCGTTGCTTATCTTTGGCTCTCTTGCAGGTTTTGTGGGTTTGTGGAATCTGCTGCTATTGTGGCCGATTTTCTTCATTCTCCACTTCACCAAAATTGAAACCTTTGAGCTGCCCAGTCAAGGGCAGTTTGCCCTATTGTTCCTCAACGGATTGATTGGGACTGTGCTGGCAGAAGCCCTTTGGCTGTGGGGCTGCTTTCTGACCTCCTCCTTGATTGGCACGCTGGCCATGTCGCTGCAGATTCCGCTGGCCATCATGTTCGATGTCCTGCTCAAGAACAAACCGTATTCGCCGATGTTCTACATGGGCTCGATACCCATATTCATCGCCCTGGTTTTCGTATCCCTACTGATGCGGAACGACGACTCCGATCCGCTGATGAAGCTGTTTAGGATTGTATATAGAAAGGTCTGCCGGTGCCATAAGCCAAGCATTGTGAGGTGAGTCTTGTATTCTGCCAAAATGAATTGCTTTTGAACAGGATAATTACTCATGTAGGGTCAACGATGACGAGCAGCAGGAGTCGCTGATAAGCAACAGCGATTGAACGCACCGATGATCGGAGGCTTTTTGCGCTTCTACAAACTTTGAATGTTGCTCATTGCAATGCAATCTAAAACTTGGCTGTTCACGAGTTCGTTTCGAATCGTTCTTTAATCTATTGGGACAAGTCCTGCACAATTCCCCATCTGCCCTGATTTGTGTTTCTCATTTGTGCATTTTCCGTTGGATATTATTATGTTGCGATCTTGCATACAACTATTTATTATAATCTTACAAGTGTATTCTCTGTAAATAGCTTTAGCTCCCACGAATACCGTTTATCTATGTGATAGTCTACAACGTTTTGCTGAAGTCCACCTATAATTTATTGTATTTTCTCGGTATTCACATTGCGCTTAGCTGTATAATTGTTGACTTCTCAATACAAGATGAATATAAGAAAACATATACACATATTGATAACTAATAACAATAAATAAAACTTGTCTACCGTAAGCTTAAAAATTTCTACAGTTAGTAGGAGGTTTATAGACTCTCAAATAATGCTGACGCTGAACAATCTGAAAGTGAGTCATAAAAAAATCAGCTTAGATTAGCTCAAGCTCAATTGTTATAAATTGAATCAGCTTTTTGAAATAAGTGGGACTGTTATGAAATCTCCACGGTAAATTAAAACCATGGGATCATACTTTATTTTTAGTTTGTTTACTAATAGAAAATACTTTTGAGTAGTAAGGCTTTCAAACATACTGTCAAACTTTTATAATTTGAAGAATATAAAATATACACATTAGAATAGCTTTATATATGGAAGTTTGACTTATATTATAATTTGTTGTGATTAATTATCAATAGGTTTCCCTGCTTATTTACCCAGCAATTTTTTGAACATTCTTAGTTTCTCTGCATAAGTAAAGTCAAAGTTATTTTCTAATAAATCACTCACTTTAATTTTCATCCTATATCCTAAAAATATGTATTTACAATAGGTGACACTTAATCTCTAGCACTTAACTAGGTATGTACTCAATAAGATCACACAAGTTCATTAACTGTTCTGGAGGCGCACACAAAGTGGCATCTGTGTGGCCCAGAGTGGCACGGCGAATGCTTCAGTTCCATCTCTCCATGCCTCCGGCGGATCACACCGTTGTCGTGGACGGCGAATGAGCAGGTGGCCCGGAACCGGAGCTGGGTGGGATCTGTGCAGCTCGGGAAGTGGACGGCTCCATCGGTTCGATTGCGATGATAGTGGCTGCTGCGGTGGGTGAATGTGGATCTGTCTCCGAGTACGGAGGTGCCGGCAGTGCGGCAATCCCAATGGGACCGGCAACGGGTTCGCCTAGCGGGGATAGAGGAAGGGGCGTCCCCGCTGCCGCAGCTGTGGGCGTGGTCAGGTTGCACATGCGCATCACCTCGTCATAGCTGGGCAGGTCCTTCTCATCCTTTTCCAGCTGGTCGCGGATGCGGTTGGCCTCCACGCTGCCAGGCTCAATGAAGAATATGTCGCCGTAGCGGTTAGCAGAAGGCTCCTCCGGCACGCTGAACACATTGCCCTGGCGGTCTGCAAGAAGTCGAAGAAAAATAAGTGAGTATTATAGGTGGGTAACTAATTTAGATTTAACATAGTGACTAGAAGTGACTTCCATATGACATCAAAATGTTAGTAACTACAAAAGTTTATTTGAAAATTAATTGTTGATATCAAATCGATATGTTTTAAGAACATCTGGCTGATCATTTGAATGTGAAGATCTATTACCACATTAAGTAATTTTTGTTTTCAGTTACAAGGTAGTACTTATGACACAATATCCCTCAGTTTACTCTTGTGATATGCACATTTCAAATTAAGCAATCGTCTATATATCACTTTATGACAGTTGTTTAAAAGTCAAGTGCTGAGAGGCTAAATATAAAGTTGAGACACTTGAAACTACACGCTGATAAGACACTTTTTATGATCAATTTTTGTGATATATCAGCCAATGTATTCCATATCCACACTGCATCAATACCGGCTTGTATTTGGCGACGATTTCGGGCCATCGAGTCGTGTATGCGCTTTGCCAGCTATCAAAATACGAACAGATAATTCAATTATTGGGGCTATTGTTCCGGCTGAAGGTTAGATCAGAGCAGCTCAGCTTTCAGGTGGTGGGGATAGGGATAATTACGTATATCAGCTGCCCTACGGCGTATATGGCAAACACAAAGCCCAGCGCCACGCACAGATTAGCTGTCAGACCCATTCTGCGATTCTCGAAGACTGAAGCCAAAATAATCGCCTCCAACCTAACCGATTAGATAGGCTTCCTGCCCACCTTTCAATTGGCACACGTTACCAATTCCGATGTCGTATCGCTGCCTCTGCCTCTGCTGACGTCGACATCGCGGATGGCAGATCTTGGCCAGAGTTTGGCTCTCCACGCGGATGTAGTAGCAGGCCAGGGGGATTAGGCAGAAAAAGAAGAACACCAGGGCCATATAGATGGCCACATGCAGGCCGAAGCTGCTGTCCCAATCAAACGTGGCCTCCGATCCGTGCATTATTATAAGGAAACTCAGAACGACGCGGGGCAGTAATCAAAGCCAAACTACAGCCACCAACTGCGTTTTCTGGGCTCTAGTATTGGCCATAGTTTGCGTTTGGCACGCAATTGATTAGTCGCCCGAGATTAGATTGTCCGCCATGTTTGGTTGGTAATACCCCATAAACGTTGCTCCATATATCAGATATAGGCAGATATATATACGACTTGGTTGTTGGCGAAACAAAACAAAAGGCAGTGCAACTTACACATCTCAAATCGGGAGTTTCGACGTCGGGAGCAGCAGAATTTCACTATCCAAATAATAGCGAACTTGGAAGAACGATTAAAGAAAGGTTATAGGGATGCAAGATGGGACCGTTAAGATCTGGGGATCACCTGTAGGGCCGCATAGGCCACGAAGCCGATCAGCAGGAGTATGAAGAAAGTTCCCAGGGGACTGACATCCATTGTGCAACAAGCTCTCCAGCAGACTGACCCCCTAAAAACTGATTTGCAATATCTGCAAGGCGGTCGAAGAAACCCTTATCGCGAAAGTCCGCGAAACAAACAGTTCACTCCAGGTTTTATAGATTTATAAAAGCACTTGATCATCAAACCCGCCCACACATACTTGGCCACAGCATATCAGTTCCTCAACACATATACTCGTATATCAGCTGGTCAAAATATCATTTCGATTCATCAATACATACCAATGGCAACCAAGCGACGCTGCCGTTCTTGACGTTGTCGTCGACGTCGTTGCCTTACCGGATCCTGAAATCCCCTGGGATTGGTCCCACAGCACTTGTTTAGAATAGTCCATAGTAAACACTTTCAAAGGAATTTCAAGGAAAATCAGTGAAGGATCAGGAGTGGATGTAACCTAATAGCCCTCGCTTAAGCGACTTTATATTTTATAGATTATGTTATTTGATACATATATCAAAGTTAGCACTTCATAATATATATATATAAATTTCTTTAGAAGAAATGATGTTCATTAGTATTATATGACAACTTTAGTTTCGAAACATTCTTAATAAGGATGGCGGAAATGGGCTAAGCGAGGGAGGAGTCCTAACGAATATCAGACATATACCTGCAGGAGTAAGTAGATCATGGGCATGATCAGGAAGAAGATGAAGAACAGCCCCACATACAGGATAAAGAAATCCATTCTGTCAATCCCTGCCGGAAACTAAAACACACAATCGAATCACTTGAACGGCGAGTTTAAACTGAGAACTCTCCAGACCGAAATTCCAACTAATCTTATCTGAGCCAAGACAACAGTCTGATTGGCAAAGTTTCTATATGTATAACCCATGATAGCCGCCAAAAATAAGTCACATTGGGTTCGTTTCGGGCTGGGGAAAACCTACGATGTCTTCGCCGACGACTCCTAGAATCCCTGGCCTCGAAGCACACCCAAATGCAGAATCGCAGGCAGCAGAAGGTAACGGCGCAGGATATGAAGGCCAGAAAGAAGAACACCAGATAGGGCGGTATGTACGACATTTTGGGTTCGCAATACGATTATGTTTATGATTATATATCCACGTGGATACGAGAGTTAGGAGCACCGCACCGACGAAGATATTCGCTCCATGAAAAGGCCTTAGGCCAACTGTCATATCATAACGCGTCGCTGGCTTTTGGCCAAGACTTATCGGCGACTGGAAAGCGAGAGAGAGGGGATCGAGGGAGCGGCGAGCAGGTGTGTCAAGGGCCATGCGATAAGCGCTCGGCGGACGAAGTCCGATAAGATACGCCGCCCCTCTCTCTTGCTCACTCTGCCGTTCTATTACTCGTGGGCGAGCCGTAAATGTATCTGTATCTAACAGATATGCGCATAATTGCGCTTTGTATAGTGTCAGACGGACACGTGACCTGCAAAAGTCTAAAAACTTTTAAGGAAAAATGTTCCATAATAAGCCAGGTGACTTGATTAGAGGGCTTCTATAAATAAAGTGAAATATATTATTTTATTATAAGACGACAGATTATTTTACTTATCAAACATACTAACAATAAGCTTTTATTTTTATATAGTTTATACTATATTTTTAGCTTTTTAGTGACGTTTTTCTCAGTGCCATGACTAGTTAGACTATCAAATATCAAGTTCTATAATAGATTAGATAAGATACGTGTACAAATACACCATAGCAAATATTTACTTCGAAATCAACTCATTATAAGTAGATTGTATATTTAAGGAAATCAAGTTTTAAGTATATTTTTACTGAATTTCTAGAAGTTATTATATTTATTTTTTTAAAGTGATTACCAAACATCTTTTACTTGAAATAACTAGAAAGATATCTCTTATTGATTGGTAAAAACATGTTATTATATGTACAGCTGATATAAACAGCTGTCTGTTTTTTGAATAAAAGCATTTATGGAATACCTCTAATATTGTGTACCTTAGTCTAAATAAGTATACGTAGTGAGCTCTAACTTTAAGAAGGAAAGCTTTGCAACGCATTATTGTAAATTGTAACCCATAAATTGGAAGTCAAGCGTGAAACGCGAATGTAACACAAATTTTTTATTAATTCAAAGCGATTCACTTTAGCCAGACAAAAGAACATGTTTTTGAAGGGCGAAAGAACATTTTCACCGCGAGTGGAAATGCGAATGCCACAAATCACCGGAGCTGCTCACCTGCTGTCCAACTAAGTCGACTACTCATTCCCGGCGACGAGGGGCACGAGGAAACGAATCTGCTCAAGGGCGGGCTAACCGGCGATCTCCTGCGGCGCTTCTGGGCCACACATCTCTGCAATTATCTGGCGGTTTCACTCCCATTTGGGTGGCTACATTTGGGCCAACAACTCACACTGACAGAAAAGTATAGGATCAGCAAGAAGAAGAGCAGCAGGACCCCGAACTCGCACCAGCGAAACTGATCACCCATTTTACGGAATTGGAATTTAGATATTCTAACATCCCGAACTGCGACCGCACATCTGAATAAATTAATTTTACTGTCGAACGTTTGGAGTCTTCCCAACCAACAGACCAACCTACTATCCAAGCCAACACATCGATAAGAGAAGAACCATAGATAACCGACCTTATCGGGAAACGCTCGTGACTCACGGCTGCTCACCTGTGTTCAAGCTTACTCCTGCCGGATCGATTCTATAGCTCTGTAGCACTCTTCCTGGCTGTCGGTTTGCTGGACCAGGACCTCTACCTGGACCACGACCACTTGAGGTAGTTTGGCTAGGAGTCTTCTGCCTGGCGCAGAGACAACAGGCCTGAAAGGATCATGAGGACCAGCTAGAGTTGCAGGACTTGTGCTACACCACATTACAACTTACTCGAATCAAAATCGATACAATTGAGATTATTAGGAACCAGCCAACCATCATTAAAGCGTAATAGGGCATTATCAAATCGACTATTTAATGCCGGATGTTCAGAAGAGACAACACCAATTTTCCACCGTTCGCCGCGCACAAGAAACCTTGCTAAAATGGCAATGGCGAGGCCTGTCATCGCTAACAGCCTAATCACCAAACAAAACCGAATCGAACACAAACCTTATCAATGGTTGAACAAATTTGCGATTAAAACTAGGCATACACACGCACATTTCACATTTAACGCAATTGGTAGTGTAAATCGCGCAGAAAGACTTACGCACCTGGGGATACGACCACTGCCGAAACACTCTCGGTATCGTAGTCCCCGGAAACGATGTTTTTCCTGCTCTTGTAGCATAGCTGTCGGGGCAAAGATAATGATTAACATCAAAAGTAGCTTTTAAAATCAGGAATATAACTCTTGATAAGGGACTACTATAAAAAGTGCTGATATAAGAAGTCAATAACATTCTTAAGGTCAAGCGATTTACAAAAAAAGGCGAAGGGATGTCCTACGATTGTAGGCACCTTTCCAAAACTGTAGCCTTTACAGTTTCAACTCATTCGGACAATTGAACTTACGCACCTGGGGACACATGACTTTCCTCATGGTAGCTTCCGCACTTGACATGTTCCCGCATATTGTAGCACAACTATCGGATCAGAAACAGATTTTAAAAAAGTGAAAATACCTTTTAAAATCAGGAATATACCAATACAAAATAATATAGGTATTTTAGGAACTTTATCAAGAATGACTTCGCTCTGAACTTGTGGGTCAAAAATAAAAAAACTGTTTTGACTTCATAAAAGATTTCCCGCGCCATCAAGAATATATTCCTGATTTTAGAAGTGTAAACTCACAACAAACACAAGGAAAAACACTAGAGTTATGTAGAATATGTCTATCCCTTCCATTTCTCGAGAGCTGTGAACGGAGTGGAGTATGCGATGGATTAACTTGGACTGGTGGTAATTTGTGAAGGAGGACGTAGAATGCGATCAAGTTGTTCGCTCATATCTTGGAAAAGTTTCCTTATACCGTTTTTATACCGCTATGAACCCCATCGAACAACATCCATTATCTTATCGGCCAAGCTTTTGTAGCTTTTTTGCACATTGATATGGGCAAAAACACTTGGATTTGGATCTTACCCTCCATGGCCAGGCGCAACATCATCTCGTGGCGTAAAAGGCGTGCATGAACCCGCGTATTCCACTCGTCGATCTTCAACTTGATAAACAGATAGCACTCCTTGAGAGGGTGTGATGACTTAAATTGCCGAATCAACGTAGGGGTTTACCTACCCGCGCAGCAAGAGACACCACAATCAGCACTACGAAGCCGAAGAACCAGATTTCCACATACATTGGGCCCTATTTCCCAGAGATTTTAGTTTTTTGATTGCCTAGCAGTTATTCCGATCGAAAGATACCAGTTTTTCACACTCGAATTTTAAAGATTTGACTAATGGAAGCGGAGTTACTTGGGATAAATAAACTCACCCGTTTCTTGCCTGTATTGCAGGCAGCACACGCACCTCCACTTGTGGTTGGGACAGATATAGGCCTTTTAAAATTCTCAATTAACCACGGATCAGAATAAGGACAGACCAGTCACACTCACCCTGATCAAAATAAGGAATATCAGAACAAAGGATACGAAGTAATATCCCTCCACCAGATCCATTATGAACTGAATCTGAGAAATGTGAAATAACAAATGAGCGGATGCCCACGGGAATACGAAAATAAGCCCTAGGGAAACTGTTGTGATAAAGCTCTTTCGATAAACAAAGATAAAGTCAGATACGGCGTTGCATCAACTTGACAGCTTGGGTAATACGGCTGGGTTATCCGATAAGCAAATCAGAGCTAATTATAGCAGAGGACCAATAAAACTGGCATGTGCGCCCAGTTATGAGTTTGTTATCTACGAAATCTCTAAGCCTATTTGTATATTTTACAGATCCGGCTCACCATTACGTCTGTCGATGGACCTCTCCGATCTAGCCCTGAGTTCTCTGTCTCTGATCTGGCCGGCTCTCTTGGCCTTGTGATAGGCATTCGATATGAACTGTATAGGGGAAAGTAGAGGATATCCTGTAGTGCTTTCTTCCGATTTAGATTCGGGTGCGGATACTCACGATAATAATCATAATGATGACTAACAGCACCACGGAGAAAGAACTGAACTCTGCACCCATAACTGTAGTAGCCCGTTTGGAACGAATGCTTTATGACAACTGACTAGCTATCGAAACCTGCCGATTTCGGAGCCCCGAACCGATTGCCCATTATCCATATCTTATCACCGTATTACCGTTTTCCGTAACGCGATCAAAACACACTTACCTCTGTGGGAGCACCTTCCAAACGACGACCAGGCTACCTGTAGGCGAAATACTTATTCAATGAACTCAAGTGATCTCTTCAATCTGGAGCCTCTTCACCCACCTTGATGCAAGCGATGGTGACCAGGCCCAGGAAAATCATAGCAATAAGAAAGGCTGCCGTCATCTTTGGTTCTCTTGTCCTAATTCTGATGAGTGCGAGGAGCCAACTGAAAGTACTTTCTTCAGGTCTCAGATGTGTGGGGTAATCAAATGCTCCAATACATGATCGCCTCCTAGACACTTTAATCGGTCTACGCCAACTGCCGATTAATCCTTATCGGTCAAAATAAGTTTGAATAAATATTGAAACCGAGGCTTGGAATACCCTCTTGGACTGTATTATTCCCACTTTAAAGAAATCGTATTAAGTCCAAGGATTTTTTAGTACATTTAAATACTTTTCATCACTCTCGATTTTTATTTACTTTAAATTTGAAAGTACTTAACTAAAAATTATAGTTTGTTTAAAGATTTTAAACTTTGATTTTAGTAAGTAATTCTTGTTTTTAATAAAGTAAAACCTTTAAAGTTAATTAGACTAACATCAAATCTATCAACCCCGATTTAAATATTTTCAAACTAAATGATGCATGATGGTTTTGTATTTTTTTGAAATATTTAACACATTATTTTAATATTATAAGGCAGATATTTATTTGTACTGCGTATTCCTTTTTCTTATGAGTGTGTGATCAATATTCATTGAACATAGTTACTTATATTGGATTGGTTCAAGAATTTAAATTGACCAATTTTGGAATTGGTCATTTGTATTTAAAAATCACCTCATTATTAACTTAAAAACGACGTAAGGCACTATTTTAGTAATTTCTAAATTGCTAAATTTCACACCTCATGTTAAAGTTAAAACACCTCAGAGAGAGGTAAGTAAATATAACCTTTCTAAGAATAGGAAGGCAGATTACGGTGAATGGCTTTCTTAGCCATTGAGTGGACACCCCCATAAAACAGAAATTCTTTCTATAGCCTATTTCTCTCAAGACCTTGAAAAGTATAACTATTTACTAGCACGCTGAAAACTAGATAACAAGACTGGTGAAATAGGTTTGTTGTTCAGAACTCTCCCACTTAACGTGCAAAAGTCGGAACTCTCC